AGCCTGGAAGTATGAGTCCTGCATATGTGCAAGGACTGAAACTAAGTGCTCCACTGGTGTTGCCCCCCCCCCCCAAAAAAAAGAGAAGCACCTGTTCGGTGCTATCCACCTATTCGGTGGAAAGTTAAAGAAATTGCCTTCTTGAAGTTGAAGATGTCTAGTTCCTTAGTGGCCTTAGTATTGCTTCATTCCTGACAGGGCCTGACAGACAGGTGCGTCTCAAAACTGTTTCTGTTTACTTGCAAAATCAAAGATATCAATACATTTACTCAAAGAAACTCACACAAAGCAAGATCATGGATGTAAAATGCCAAACTACATTTAACTTAATTTACAATGTCTACAATTTTTTGCTCACAAAGAAGTTGCTACAACCTAGATCAGACAACCTAGATCAGTAAAAAATATACGCCAAACTCTCTGACTGATGACTTGGTCCAATTTGCCTAGTGTCAGGCTTTAAGTAGCACGACCCACCCCCGCCCCTGTTTTGGCTTGACACCTCAAATTTTCATTGCTGCAAAGAAACACCATCATGAAGCAACTCAGGGTGTTCAGGAACTCCACCATAAGTTACAGATATGTGGTTTAAGACTCATAACAAGAAAAAATGAACTATCACAATCAAAGACCAAACTATCACAATCAATGATCATGGGTTATAGACAGATAGCTAGCTAGATAGATAGATAGATAGATAGATAGAGCTATGAAGATAGCATAAGGTTCGGTCGGGCGGTGGGGAAACGGCAGGCCCGGCACTCTTCGGCAAGCGGCCCGCCGACGCCGAGGGCACCGCCGCCGCGGAACCACCAGCAAAGGCGGTAAAGGCGAAAGCCGCAGCCGTGGCCCATGTCACTCCAGCGGCAACAGCCTTCCGGGCGCAGCTGGACGCCCTCTCTTCCGACGGGGAGGCAGAGGTCACAGAGGCACTCCTGCTGTTGGAAGATGTGGTGCACCACCAGAGCGGCGCAGGCGCCGCGGCGGAGCTGCGCGGAGCGCAGCTCCTAGTGGCTCTGCAGGGCCACCATAAATTCCCCGAAGGCGCCCGCACTGAGCGCCTTGAGGAGGCCGTGCGAGGCCTCAAGAGCGAGAGCCCCGACGCCGAAAAACGGGCTCTCCAAATGCAGGACGAGGTGGTGACTGCGCTCGCCCCGGGCGTGGACATGCCTGCGCTGGCGGCGGCGCTGGAGAAGGTAGCCGTAGCCGCCAACCCAAAGGCGGCCGATGTGAAGGCCTTGCTGGAGATGCTGCCGCACTAAGCTTATGTTCATTTTCAATGCTCTATTTTCTAGAGGCTGGAGACTACTTTTTCATCAGTGGCAATTTTTGATCATTTTCCCTGTGTCTTTATATAACGTTTTTTGACGAATCCACATGAGCCCTGGTGATGCTAGAAAAGAGGTTGGCGGCATGGGGTGCGTGTCCGTATTATGGTCATTAGGACGGTATCGCCGGATAGATTGTAGAGCTTCGCAGAGCGGCGATGCCGGTAGGGCGCGTGTTCGCTATCGTGTTTATTATTATTCGTTTCTGATTTTGTTTGTTGTTTTTTGTGCGGCTGTCCGTTGCCTTTGTATTTCTTGCTCTGCTACGTGCGCAAAAAGAGACCAGGCAAAATCCCTCCGGCTGGTGGTGAAGAGACCTTTTTGAATGACCAAACAGATGGAACGCACCGTAAGTATCTATGTTTTTTGCTGCCCGAGGCTTCAAAAGTGCCCCAAAACCACGCTATTTGCGTAGTTTTTTGTGCCTCTACGCCAGGAAACCACGTAAATACCGATGGTTTTGAGCTATCGCGTGCTCAAAACCATGGTTTTTACGAGATTTTCTCAAAAAAACGAAATTTTCAGCATTTCGCACACCACGCCCCCCAAACACGTCGATATTTATGCAATTTTTGCAACGCTGCGACTTGTTTTTTTTTCTAGATCGAAATTTGTGAAACCATTGTAATTTACAGTGTTTTGCGCCTTGGCGCAAACCGAAAAAAGGCTTCAAAACTGTACGGCCCAAATCCAGCTCCTTTCCAGTTCCCAAATTTTTTGTCCAACTTACCTGTTTTTTTGACGACTTTTTCGACATCCCAAAGTTCCAAAAAGGCTTCTCCCCCACCAGGTTCAAAAATTTTGCTACATTTCTCGTTTTGCCGTTTTTGGAATCGCTCCAGGAGCAAAAACGGCTCGAAACACAGGCGAGAGCTCAATTTTCTAAGTTCGATTTCACAAAACACCGTAAGGGGGGGTTCCCGGCATCGGGAGCACCCCCCCCGTAGCACCATACGGCATCGCCGGAATGGGCTAACGCCTAGGTGCCGCGACCCCCCTTCAGCTAGGTGTCAGCGGATTTGAATTGATTTGGATAAAAGTGGATGTGCTGTCAACAGAGTTGAAGAAGTGAAGCCTTGAGAGTGGTGGGGAGTCCTCTAAGTCTACAAGGAAGTTGCCAAATTTCAACAAACAATGGCTGACTCTTTCAAACCGAATGCAGAGTTACCGGATTGCCGCGTGTTGCCAAAGCAAGATCAATTGAATTGGCCCGTGTTTCTGTGGAGAGAGAAGATGTAGTTGTGGGGAGGTCTCAGGTTTCACGGGCTCTTGTTTAATTTATGGGTCCCTTTGGGCAATCGATGATTTTTTAAATAGTGCCCCAAGGCTCATGGACCCTCAAACTGCTGCATGTTGGTTCGGTCGAGTTCACCCTGGCTGTGAGGGTCAAAACCCTCGCGAACTGAGGGTCCAATGAGCCTTTGGGTAAGAAGTTTGCTGGAGGTGGATTGTGTCCTTGACAGGTGATCCTTCACTCTGGTGATCCCTTCCAGTCCAACCCACGTGAACGTGGGCATCTCGGTTCCACTCAGTTCCACATTGGTTACCATATGAGCATCGGAATAGCATTCTACCGAACAGAACGTCGTCACAGGGTGGTTTGGGGATTTCGTCTGCTCATATGACCTGGAACAAGACATTTGTAGAGAACTGTTGCCCTCATATTTTGCGTGGAATGAGAGGTTGATGGTGCATCGCAAATCGCAAACCGTATGCGTGATCGATTCGTGGCGGCCGCCGCACAAGTGCTCGTCGATGGCGGGCTTGAGGTAGCAAGATGCTTTCATGCCTGACCTCTAGACTACAGTAATTATATAGATGCAAACATTGTTTATGTATCATAGGTGCTGTCGGATTCTTGGGCACACTCTTGCACCACTTGGATCGTTCCAGTGCCACCCCAGGGGGGCATCGCCCGTCCTGCTAGGCCGCTTTGAGCGTTCGCACGCCCGAGCAGCCCAGCAGTGATGCTGGCAAGCCGGCCTTGGTGACGAGACTGCTGTGGTGTCGCTTCTATCGGCCGATCAAGCCGATCTGAAGAGGTCGTTCTTTTTCTTCGTCTTCTTCTTCTTCTTCTTCGTGGAGCGTCGTTTTCCAGGATTGCTCCGGAACGGAGAAAGATATATGAAGATACATGAAGAGACCCCCAACAAACGGAGCCCGCAGAGCTACGAGGGAGTACCCTGCCACCGCCTTTGAGGTTTCGCTCAGTGTGGGGATGTTGAACGTCCGCTGTGAAGGTTCTTCAACCCGATCTCTTCATGGGGCTTTGTCGGTGCAAGAAGTATCCAGCGATTGGCATTGGCGAATGATTAGAGATCCTTCCTCAGAAGTGCTGTTGTAGATCCTGCACTGCAAAACCGCGTTGCAGTAAGAGCGAGCTGTTTCGCTCTCTCATGGTCTATATAGACCCCCAAGTAGACAGAAAACTACATCCCCACCAAGAATGTATTGGACACCGTTTGTCAAAGGCTTCGGGGTGTCCCACCCAGTCTATCTCTGCCACCCTTCCTTTGGCCGGTGACTTGTCTTCGTGCCCCAGCTGCGCCCGAGGCGATGGTGGATCACCAGAATGGTCGCCCCCAGCCGAAGCGTCCCGAAGAGCAGAACTCTCACCGGGATGACTTCCAGCACAATGCTGGTGCGCCCAGTGTGGGTGAGCAAGCAGACCACCCAGCAGCTCAGCAGATTTTGCTTCGGGCTGGGAGGTTTTTGTAGAGGCACTTTCGATTCGATTTGTGAAAATTGTTTAAATATCAATATTGTTTAATAACAATATTATATTTTTGTAGAGGCACTTTCTATTTTTGAATATTGTTTAAATCTTGTTTAACTTGTTTTGTTGTCCATTCGTGAAGCTTCACAGGCCGGGCCTGTGAAAGCAATTCATGGCAGAGTCAACATATTTTTCCATACAATGTCTTTTGGTCACATGTTCAAAGTGCCAGGTGCCAGGCTGCGAGTAGAGAACTATATCCAACATCTGTGTTCAAGGCATGAACATGCCATGGTTTAAGAACTGAAAGAGAAACTCATCTGATAGCAGAATGCCAGCCTAGAATGAGATGAACCAAAACGAGGGTCAGAAGTCGGAAGACTGTTAAATGAACAAGTCGACACACTGCAAGATCCTCTGAAGCTGGGTATGGCTAAAAACCATCAGCGGCATTTTAGGGGGCCATAGATTCTTTTTTGGTCTCCCACTCCATCACTATCAACTCCTTCTTCCTCTCCATCACTCTTCGCCCAGTTGACGGGCTTCTCCGAATTCTATCGCGCGGACGGATGGCTGCTTGGCCGAGAAGAACGACAAACAAAGCGACCGCGGGTTCTCCGCACGACAGACGACGGTGTGGATCCAGATGAACACCCGGATCGACCGTCCGTCCCATCGGATTCACCATCGCTCCGTTCGAACAGGTTCGCCCGCCCTGATCGCCCCGGTTCGTCATGGCCGAGCGCGAGCTCGGTGCTTCGGTTTCGTCGTTTTTGGTGTGCGGAGGTTGAGTACCACCAATGAGATCCCCGAGGACGCGGCCATCGTGACCGGATGCCACTTGGAGCGACCGGTTGAAGCGACCTGAAGCGAAGGGCGGGTTGGACTGTTGCGGGTCTGGAGTAGCAAAGAAGGAGTCCATGGAGTCCAGCAGCTTGTGGGAAAGTCCTTGGAGTCCAGCAGCTTTCTTAGGGCTCGAATCATGGGCCATCGACTTGACCGGGCGTTCGCAATGGAGAGGACACATCGCTTGGTGCCTTGATTACATCAGCTTCATGAGGAGGAGTTGTGTTGCGTGGAGAGGGGAGACTGTTTCATTGATCTAAAGAAGCTGGTTGCCAGTCGGGTTGGATACTCAAGATGAGAGACAAAGACTCAAAGGAGTTGCCAGATCAACTGCCTGTAAGACAACTGCCAAGTCTGCAGCTGCTCATCCTGCCCTTCTGCGCCCCTGAAGAGATTGTTTGGAACAATCTACGTTTTGCCTGTGACAAGAATCGAGTTCAAGAAGTTACACATTTGCTTCACAAGCCTCTGGATCCCAATGGAAGAGGTGCAGACACTGACCCTTCACCACTGCATCTTGCGGCAAACAAGGGCCACTTGAAGGTTGTGCAGTTGTTGCTGGAGGCTGGAGCTGACAAGAGTGTGGCAATGGAAGATGGGGCAACAGCTTTGTTTCTTGCAGCTCAGAACGGCCACTTGAAAGTGGTGCAGTTGTTGCTGGAGG